AAACATACATCTCACGTTCATACATCATAACATGTACATACCATTTGCATTTAACATAATACCACGTCTGGTGAACATCATGCATACATCTGCATTTTACTAACTCTTTTTCTCACAGGTAAAACATCAAGTTTTAGTATAAATCAACAGGAGATTTGTGCTGATACTTCTTCCAGTGTTTACTAACATTCCTCCAAATGGCATCTATAAGCCCATTCACTATCCATCTTCGAGTGTAAATTTCTAGGCACTCTAGTGTTCAATCATCTTTCACCTTCAAGTCAAGAATGACAGATTCGCCAATCTAACTCTTCAGGTTTAAGATGATAGAAGAGGGGCAGTTGTTGTACCCTAAAATTTGCCCTCTCATTTCTCAAGGATTCTCTCACAAGATCTACTACGACGTCAAGTTTGCAGCACTGATACATCAATTTAGGCCTGGAATTGGCACAAGGGGAAAATGGTTAATTGCATACTGGAAAGTCAAACTTTGACATTTTGGTCAACATTACATTCCAAAGATCAAATTTCATCAAGACATTCAAGAGTATCAAGCTTGATCATCAAGAAGTCAAGAAAGTCAAAAGTCAACTTGAAAAGTCAAGATTTCCAAGACTTAGAAATTTTTCTAAGTGTTTTTATACATGATAATTCCACCATTTCACGCCATTCTTTCACTAAGATGCAAGACGGTTCAAGGAAAACTTTCAACATGAAAGTTGTAGATCCCAATGAGATCTACAACTTTGCTTTGCTGATGAAATCCTAGAAGTGCTTGGATTTTGAGTTATAAATTCATGAAGTCATGACATTTTCATTTAACACTTAGAGAAATTTTCAACAGATTTTGTTCAGGATTTTATCCCAACTTCTTGGCATTTTTTCACATAGTTATAAGATGATTTTGTCAAAATGGCCAACATGAAAGTTATAGAGGATGTTTCAAGCTTTCCAAAACATCCAAGAGCATGAATTTATCATACTTGAGCTAGGATATTCAAGGGCTTGAAGTTGGGCATCCATCCTTGAATTGCAAGTCATTTTAGTGAAGAATACATAATAAAACTCTTATGATTTGCTGCATAATATTATGTTATAGGATTCTTTACTTGCAAATCTCATCATAATTTAATGCTTACACCCACTCTTGAGCTATTACCCAAGTGTTTAAACCATTGTCCAAAAGATCCTTCCATTTATGGCATAAAGGCACAATTGCTATTCTTGAAAAGCAAGCTTTTTGTACAAAGTTTGTCATGAGCCCACACCTTGCTGGTTGCTGATTATACTCCACCATAAATCATGGGAAGTAGCTCCTCAATACAAGCAACTTTGGTACTTCATCTTGGGACTATGGAGTACTTGACTTAGTTTGATCTTTGTAATCCAACTAAACCATAACATGCTGTCTTGCAAACCTAATCAACTCACATGCACAAACCCCTTGCCTATAAATAGAAGAAGCATTTGCAAGAGGAGGAGGTTAGAAAAAATAGAGAAAAAATCCATAAGTTTTGTTGTAAGCTAGCCATCAAAATCCCATACTCTCCAAAAAGCCATAATTGTCCAAAAAAGCTTCAACTCTTGAGTTTTAAAGTCCAAATATTTAGAACTCTCGCACTTTGCAAACTCTGTCTAAACATCTAAATACCTCACATACATCACCTAGAAATTGTTCAAACTCAAGAACAAGCTTCTACAACATCTCTGTTTTCTTTTCCAAGTTCAAGAATAGTCAAGACAACAACTCAAGCTCAGAGTATAAGATCCAGCTCCAAGGTAAGTTTCTTGACTTTAGTTCTTCATTTCAAGCATCATTAGTAATTCATTTTTTGAAGACAAAGTGTAGTGACCATTGTCCTTGAAGCTAACCTTTTGTTTATCTTCCATTCTTTTCATTATGTGTTGAGAACTAACCCATGTATGCAACAAAATAATATTGAAGTAAAAAAACGACAGTATGAGTCGACACATAGCCTTATGAGTCGATACATACTGATTTACAAACCAAAAACAGAAGGAAAAAGAGTGTATGAGTCGATACAAAGCACGTATGAGTCAACACATGCAGTGTATGAGTCGACATATACCATTATGTATCGACTCATACTGAGTTGATTTGGCAATACAGGGGCAAGGAAGGTTATGTGTCGATGCATAGGAGCTTGTGTCAACACATAATAGTTCAAAATGCATTTTTTCCTTCTTTTTACACTGTTTTTACATTTCCTTCATTTTTATTCGATATGGTTGTAATATTTAAGTTCCTATTTCATCCCCATTTGTAAATTATACCCCCATCCCCTAATCGAAGTTATAGCGTAGGACTTTATTTTCTGCAATTTAACGCTTTCAAGTACAAATGCTAGTAAATAGGGTTTTACATGGAAAGGCTAAAACCAATCAATAGAAAACCCTAATCAAAGACAAAAACAATGCATGCAAATCAATACACTTGCACACAAACACCCCTAGGGTAAATCCACTTGGTTGCCTTACAAAAATGGCCATATTACGCATGTGAGGTATCTTAGCAAAGACGAGTAAAATATAAGATCATAGTCCCTCGATGACGCAATCAAAAGTTGCCTTTCAAAATGATCTTAGTCCCTAAAGAAAAATGTTAAGATGCCTTGCAATATTCCTAATCATGGTTAAACGAAGATCCATGCCCGTCCCTCTTACATCCAAAGATAGGGCTTCTTACCAAATCAATGGTAAGATAGCAATATCGAAGGAAAGTAAGAAATGAACAAAGACTTTTGAGTAGGTAGATTGTTCCTAGTTGCTTGCTCAATTTAAAATCAAACACTCTTGCTTATTTTTAAAACAAACACCAACACTTTCAAAACATCTTTCAAAACTTGAAAACATTTTCAAAAGATCAAACACTTTGTATACATTCTTACGAATGAGAATCATTACAAAGTTTGCCTAAACAAATGGCCTCTTTTCTAAAATACTTTCAAAACCACACAAAGCACAATTTCAAACAAAAGCAAGTGATCTAGCAAGTAACTAAGATCCCATGGAAAACCATGGATGAAAAGGGTGCTAATACCTTCCCTTTTCATAATCTACCTCCCGAACTCAAGAAACAATCTCAAAAGTCTTTCCTGTGCTTTTTAACCTTTCTTTTTGGATAAAAGAAAAGTTGGTGGCGACTCTTGCTAACCGCAACATTTGCGATCAAACGCAAAACATCCCAAGTCAGTTCTCCCACCGTATCACAAGATGGATGGACAAGATGAGTTGTGAAGAGCAACTTGGATCGTGAATCAATTTTTGGTTTTCTTCTTTTATTTGCCGCAAATCGTGAAAAGCATTATGGTCCCTCACTTGCAATTTCATTATTTTCCTATTTTTTGACAAAAAGAAAAATAACAAAGTAGTAATAGTAATAATAATGTGAAGAAGAAAAAATGTTACAAAAGATTAAAATGCAAATAAAAAATAAAATAAAAAAGAAATAAAAAAGGTTTAAAAAGGTTATTTTAATTTTAATAGAAATTTAATTTTAAAAAATTGAATTAAAATTATAACTAAATCAAATGACAAAACTAAATTTAATTAAAAAGTAAGTTAACCATAAAAAAATTGACTTATAAATGAATTAAAAAAGCGAATGAAAATCCAAATGAACTATATTTTTGATATTTTTTAATGAAAAAAGTAATTAAAATAAAATGATGTCAATTATATATTTTTTATGATTTTTTTGAAATAGAAATTAAGAGGACGAATAAAATATGAGAAATGCACAAAGTGATCGACTTTTCAAGAAACGAAGAATATGCATCAGTTGAAAAAAGTAAGGGGCAAAAAATGGGGTGACACACGCTTTTATAGTTTAGGGGAGCTTTCAGAGACATTTTGCATGTCTGACTATAATAACCAATTCCCATCGGGGTGTTATCGGAGATTCTTTGCACGTCCGAATACAACATACAAATACCTCATTGTCAAAGAACTACATACAATCATGCGTAGCTGACACCTCCCCCTTCGGATCTAGCCAATTTAAGGAACGAGCGTGGTGGAGCTTGGAGATGTCCACCTCGATCTGAGCTTTTTCCCTGGACATGGAGATTGCGATTTTATACCCTTGGTCGAGGAATGGTACTTTGTGACATGGGGTGCAGTTTAAAAAGTATGGTTGAATGTAGTCGGTTTCATGTCCCTCATCTATAAGTATGATTCGAAACATAACCACATTTAATCAGACTCATGCCTTATTACTATGGATATGATTCAAAGTATAGTTACATCTAACCGGTTCCATGCAAAATTATTGCAGGTGCAGTTTAAAGCATAAACATCCAGAGTTGAACTCATGACTCACTATTAGAAATCCAACATACGGATACATCAAAATGAACCAATGATTTTCTTACACGAGCACGATCCAACTAAAGCCACAATCGATTGGATCGACATTCTGTCAAGGAAATGCATACATCTTAACGCGACACACTCATAAATAAAGCGCCCATACATGGAGTCGTGAAAGACTTACGGTTATTTACACTTTAAGCAAATATTATTTGCTGCTCTCTATATCAAACAAATAGTCCAAACTGCAGGGCTCAAAAGCAAGCCTTAGCTTTCCTCTGATCTTAATAGGCTGAAAACAATGGTTAAAAAGAGCACAATATGAAATCAAAAGCACAAGCATGCGAAAGGTAACACTATAAATATTTTTTACAAATCAAGGCAAACGCCCAGAAAAATATTCCACGAGAAAACCAAAATAAAAGAGAAATGCAAAAACCCTCACACATAAGCACCCGACTCTGAAGCATCCGGGCTACCTGAGGCATCCTTTCTAGGAATCGCTTGGAAAGAGACTCTTAAGATTTCTATCGTGCGACAACCACTTCCTCCTCAAGGCCTTTCAAAGCATTGATTCAGTCATCCTTATTCTATTGAATAAGTTTCTAATCCACCTGGAATGCACAACACACTTCCACCACATATTCAAAATTCTTCTTCTAATGTTTCTATCCTTCAGCAAAAGAAGCCTTCAACTTTGTTATCTGAGCAACCAACATTGACAAAGAACCGTACAAATCTACCTCTTCTTGCAAAGAGTCAGCAAGCCTGCCCTTTGCCCACAACTCGGCCAACTCCTTCTCAGCCGCAAAATTTTCCCGCTCAAGGGCGTCATATTTCTCATTAAGCTCATCCTACTTCATAAAAGGTTACCATAGCCTAGTATATCATCCTGGATGATAACTACCATTGAACCCATGGATCTATCTCTAAAAAATGTACGAGAAGCATCTATAAAAATATTATGTTTTTCAGTTATATATAATCCCTAAACATAGTCTAGATCCTAGTTATCCACATCAGTAGTAAATTCTTCTACAATGCTAGGTACTCGGGAAGGAAGGATAACATAAATTCAGGAGAAATGAGTAAGAGACTTCGACTTAGCACCCTCCAATAGGCGAGCACGTTCAGAGAACCTTATTAACAAGAGTGGACAAATTGTCACCATAATTCCTCTTGATAGTAGAAGGATATGGTGAAGTCTCACTGATAGAGAATTAGGTCGTCATAGTAGTCAGTTGTTATACTTCCACCTCAAGAGTTATACTTAGGATAATAGTCATAACTACTATTGGGGTAGTAACTGTAGCTGGTTCCCAGACCCCCAAAGCAGAAGTAACAGCAACAACACGAGTCACCGATATCGGGCCAAATAAGCCACTTGTAAGACCATGATCCTTGGCGAACACGATAGCCTTCTTTAATTGAGCCATGTTATCTTCAAGGCACAAGTTACACTTTTTATAATAAAAACACCCTGAGTTCCCATCCTCACCAAATAGTTCTTACCTCTCACCATGACCAGGTGCACTGATAATTGCATGGGTATCATTTTGTTTCTTCTTTCACTAAGAATGAGGTACTTCACTAAGACCAAATCCTTCCTCATAGACGATACTTTGATACTAAGTGCTCAAATCCTCTTTCACTTTCACCTCCTTGGAGGATAGAGGACTTAACCAGAAATGGTAAGAAGAAAGAGTTGTCTACATAAACGATCTTTAGACCAGTACTTCAAAAAATTACTTTGCAAGAACGAGCACATCCCACTGGGGGATGAAGACAAACAAAAACAAAAATGAGTCTCAAGAGTAACAAGTTTCACCAGCATGAAATGTTCAAGAAAATTACCCCATTAAGTGGTGAAAGATCTAAACCAAGGTACATGAAGGCAAAAGGATTTAGACCAATCCATGATCCCAGGCATCTTCCTGAGAGGTACAGGCCACAGAAAAATATCAAAAAAGAGTTCCAGAGAAGGCCTATAGGATTTATACTCGGCATAGAGTTGGAACACCATCATAAAAGCACAAGCTCTGGGATAAAGCTGCAAGGGGGAGCTCTCAAATGGTCCATATTGACAACCTCAAAATTAGAGAAGGGAAAATGTATCCCCAACATGGTAAAGAGGCATTCATATAGAGGAACCAAACAACTCTTAAAATAGCTATATAGCCTCTTCGTCGAGCCTACCAGTAGAATTGACCAATATGAGGGGTTTCTGACCTTAATGTCAACATTATCTATAGCCTCGACAGTAACCAATCGATTGGTTACCCAGTCTAATTGATTGGTTGGGTGAAAAATCATTTAACAAAACATGGAAAACAATTGATTGGTCCACTGGCAGCAATTGATTGGTTCACTTTTATTTTGATCATAACTTGAGCTACGTGACTCCAATTGAGGCACAGTTTGAAGCGTTGGAAAGCTAAAATATAGTATTATCTCATGGTGATGTCTTAGGATGTTAATTGTGTAAATATAATTAATGGTGATTGTGATCGGTGGATCTGGAACTGACTGTTTAACGCTGGTTCGCGAAATGTCGCGGAAGCAAGAGTCGCCACCGTCTTTTATTTTCTCCAACATGGAAAGGACAAAAGCACAGCAAAATTCCTTATGAGATAGTTTCTCGGTTCGGGAGGTAGATTTATAGAAAGGGAAGGTGTTAGCACCCTTTCTATCCATGGTTATCCATGGGCTCTTAGATACTTGCTCATTTGTGTTTTCAAAAATGTTTGTTTGCTTTTCAAGGTGAGTGGGTTTGAAAAAGTTTCTTTGAAAGTTTCAGATCGACTCTTGTATCAGTCCTCAAGAGTGTTTGAAAAGTTGTTTTTGAAAGCTTTTTGCAAAGTGTCGGTGTGAAAAGAGTTTTTGATTTGTTTTGAATTAGAGCAAGTATCTACGAGTCATCTACCTACCCTAAGGAATTAGTTTGTGTAAATGTCCTTAAGGTAGTGCCATCCCACCATTGAGAGGTAGGTAGCACCACCGTTGGAGGTGTTCGGGTCAATTCGAGGATTAGGGACAGTGTGGTCACCAGAGCAATAGGAGGATACCATAGAAGCTACCCCCCATGCCATGTTCATGGACATGAGGACTTACTAAAACGTCCTCTACTCGACGACCACGTTTCGAGGGGCAAGGCAACAGTGAGGCGTACCCTAGGAGTGGTGTGTGACTTGTGTGTCATTTTCAGTTATTATTTGTCTTGTCATGCATTGGTGATCTACGCTTTGTTTTTATTTGAGCATGCATTCTTTCATGTGTTTTAACAGTTTAAAAGGTGCGGGAATTTAAAGTGCGGAAAATAAAGGTCCTACGCTATTACAAGGCGCGGGTCTACATCGCCAAATTAAACCAAGACCCGATTCGAATGAAAGTGCGGAAAATAAATGTCCTAATTATCTATTACAAATCCTTGGGGCAAATACATTATAATCACAAAAAGAAATAAAAATAAATGCGCGAAAGGGAATTATGATCGAATGCGAGGGCGTTGGACCCTTTTAAAGAAATTAAATCGAAATTATAAATTAATTAAATTAAATAGAAGAAAGAACTTATTTTTGGAGTTTTTGTATTTATGAAATTTAATGAGAAAATTAATTGGAATTAAAAGTTAAATAAAAAAACCTAGTTCTAAATTGTTTTTAATTTATTGAAAAAAAATATTTAAGTTTGACCTAATTTAACCCTAACTAATTAATTACAAGTATTTACAAAAATAGTTAATGGTTAATAATAATTATAATAAGAAAAGAATATTTATTAAAAAAGAGGATCAAAATGTATTAAAAACCTATTTTTTATATTTTTTAGTTATTAAGAAGTAAATAAAAATTAAAACCCTAAATTAAAACTAAAATGATCATTAAAATTATTTACAAAATAATTAGTGAATTAAATATTAAATGAGGCATATTTTTATTTTTACGATTTTTTCTGATCTTTTGTATTTTTATGTTATAAAAATTAATTTGTGGAATTAAATAAACAATTAAAATAAATAAAAGAAAAGAAAAAAAAAAGAAAGAAGAAAGTGCAAACATGGGGGGGTTTTCTGACCCATTTGGAGGTATGTTGTGAGTAATCTGGCCCACTGAAATCTGGCCTTTTTTGACTTTTCAATGATCACGTGTGGATCTATTGACCAATGCGTATGGTAGTCCTCCCATTCTGGCCCTTGGATTGGTGTTGTTGGACATGTGGCAAGCTTAAGCGTTGAGTGCATGGTAGATCACTGAAGGGCACGCTGCATGGGAATAGGTTAAAGAAAAAATTATGAAATATGCAAGGGGACCTGGGAATCGAACCCAAGTCCCATTACCTGCGTGACAACACATCCACCAACCAGCCAAATGCGTTTGTTTGTTCATTTAGTGGAACCTGATCAATATGAGAGAGAACAAATTCTATTGGGGTAAAACAACAATTAAGCGCGAAGATTTGAATGGCCCAGTCTGGTTGAGACAACTCAGCATCTTCTTCATGGCTGCTTCGTTTTACCTGAAAACATGAGATAGATAGCGGGGGTTTTAAACCCCCACTAACCCTAACATACAAAAATAGCGCTTAGCTCCTGGGCAAGGATAAATTGGGCGCGATGGTATGGTTCTGTTCGTCATGAGTTTCTGAATTCAATGGTACTGGTTAGGATGGCCAATTTTTCCTCATGAAGAAGTCCCTAATTTCAAGCTTATGAAAACCTAGAAAACGTCAATGGCATATTTCGCTACAGGCAATATAAATTCAATTCAATGGCACCATTAGCTTCAGTATAATCATATTAGTGTAAAACAAGCATTAAAATGTATGGAAAATGCGTGCAAATCAAAACACGAATATGCAAAAATTCATGAATAGGGTGACTTCGTTCTACCAGTTCTTTGTGTATGGGGAGTGGAAAAGTATTGGGTTATGTTCAGGAAAGTCCCAGCAAGCTTTTGAGATACTTTTTACGCCTTGAAACGCCTTCTAGATGCCAAAACAGTTTTGAGGTTTTTTAAGAAAAAGTGCAAGTTTTGTTTTCAGGTTCTAGCGCAGCATGCTTGTTCTCTTGATTAGGGTTAGCTTTGTGCATATATGAGGAATGATTTAGGTCAACAATCCAAGCCCAAAGCTTTGTCTTTAATGATTTTCAAAATTTGATTTTCATGAATCTTTTCCAATCTTTTCATCATGAAGAACATGCCAATTTGCATAGAATCTTTCCTTTTTTGATGTGCACGAGATCTTGAGTGAATAATGAGGGCATATGCTTCATAAAAAGATTCAAAAACATTTGTTTAGTATTTTTCTCATATTTAATTTTAATTAAATGAATTAATGGATTTAAAAATTCAATTAATAAATTAAAAATAAGAAAATAACTCCCCTTTGGGTCAATGGGTCGTGCATAGCTTTTGGGTGATGATTCTTGGAATAAATTGAGGCCCATTAGCAATTTTGAGGCATTTGAAGCAAAGTTGACTTTTCAAAATTCCCAAAAATTTCCCAACTTCGACAAGGCATATCTTGCTCAATTTTTAAGCTTTGATCATGTTCTTGGACATTTTGGAAAGGTCTTGAAGTCCTCTAACCAATGCCTTTGGTCCCATGTCATTTTGATTTACCAATCTCAAGTTATGGTCTTTGACTTAAAGTGCCTTTTTGTTGACTTTTGAAAATGACCTATAATGTTGAGATTGATAACTTTTTGTGAGAGCATTTCTTGGACTTTAAGTGTGAAGAGGAGTTGTAGGAAATGTCATTCTATTCAAAATGATATTTGGATGGAATTTTTATGATAAACCATGTGGAAGTTATGCCTTGGTCAATTTGCAATTGACTTTTTCAACTGTCCAAATATGGAAACTTTTGCATCTTGAGACTTTTTGAGCCATGCCTTGAGAATCATGATCAAGAATTGATCAAATGATGTTTGTTGCTTTAAAATAAGATGTTGACCAAAATTTTTGACTTTTGACTGTCAAATGACCATTTTGCCCCTGCAGTTGACTGTTGGGCAATTAGGGTTTTTGACTGTGCAATTTTGTGCTGAGAGTCTTGAAACTTGGCATAAGGATGCTTGACAATGTTTATAGGCATGTGGGACTTGTTTGGACCCTTGGAAACTTCAATTTCTTTGTCAGAACCAAAACCCTAATTTTGACTGTTAGGAGGCCATTGGACTGTGCAACCCTTGGGAGATTTTGAAGCATGCTCTTTGCAAGTCTTAAAGAATATGGGAGGGCAAATTTTGGGGTACAACAGTGATTGTTATACCCAAAAATTTTCCCTCTCATTTTCTTTCAAAATTTTCTTTTACATGGGTGGTAGCCAACATCTTCTTGAGGAAAGTAAAATTTGAAGATGAACTAAATATCTTTCGATTGGAGCATCAGAACTTCCTTCAATTGGAGCATAGGAAATTACTTTGATTGGGGCA